TATCTAAGATAATATTAACGTTTAATTTTTTACCAGAGGTACTATATTGTAACCACAGATGTCAGCACAAGGACTATTGGATGATGCTGCCAGCTAGTAGACAATTTTAGAACTAATCGTCACAGTTTATCAGCCTTGGATGATTAGTCTATTTCAGGGATCGGCAACCCCAGCTTTCTGCAAAGTTCACATGCAACTAACTACTCGCGTCTGAAAGACAATTCCTTCAGCTACATTCTTATATAATTTTATAAACAGATTCAGTTTAGTTTAGGACTTATGAAATATTATATGGGAGTGTCCCCTATTCATCGTACTCGAGTATAGGGAACTGTTACAAACAATTGCTAATATCTAATAACCCACACCACTTACGGCTGCCAGACAAATTGCAGAACATAGATAAACGTTCATTCTACATTCTACAAGCTTTAAAGTGTATAATTAGTCACGCATTAGCCTGACCTTATCTAAGATAATATTAACGTTTAATTTTTTACCAGAGGTACAATATTGTAACCACAGATGTCAGCACTAGGACTATTGGATGATGCTGCCAGCTAGTAGACAATTTTAGAACTAATCGTCACAGTTTATCAGCCTTGGATGATTAGTCTATTCCAGGAATCGGCAACCCCAGCTTTCTGCAAAGTTCTCATGCAACTAACTACACGCGTCTGAAAGACAATTCCTTCAGCTACATTCTTATATAATTTTATAAACAGATTCAGTTTAGTTTAGGAGTTATGAAATATTATATGGGAGCGTCCCCTATTCATCGTACTCGAGTATAGCGAACTGTTACAAACAATTGCTAATATCTAATAAACCACACCACTTACGGCTACCAAACAAATTGCAGAATATAGATAAAAGTCCGTTCTACATTCTCCATGCTTAAAAGTGCATAATTAATCACGCATTTCTATTGAAATAACCAAAATCTGTTACAATTGAATGCGACGGGTGTAATACTCTCCCAAAGAATGTTTAATAAGTCTTAAACTAGACGGAATATGTTAATAAAATTTATATGAGAATATAGCTAAAGGAGTTACCTTTGAAACGCATACATTTAGTTGCATGGGAATTTATTAGAAAGCTATGAAATTATTGAAAATCCGTAAATGTGTTACACTTGTATTTACCTGCGTATTAAAGCCTAACATATTTTCGTTAATTCAATAGAAATGCGTGATTAATTATGCACTTTTAAGCATGGAGAATGTAGAATGGACTTTTGTTTATATTCTCCAATAATTTTTGTAGCCTTAACTGATGTGCTTTATTAGATATTAGCAATTGTTTATAAGATTCGACTTGACGCGAGTACGATGAATAGGGACGCTCCCAAATAATATTTAATAACTCCTAAACAAAACGGAATATGTTCATAAAAGTTATATGAGAATGTAGCTGAAGGAATTGCCTTTCAGATACGTATATTTATTTGTACGAGAATTTAGTAGAAAGCTATAAAATTATTGAAATACCGGAACGATACTTGACGGTATGCGGTACCGTTCCTGACATCACCTGCTAAAATTGTTAATAACTAATTATGGAAAGGGTTTAGCGCACTAAAAACGATATGAGAAAGTTGCTGAGGGATCACACTACATTCTTCAATACAAAAAGTTCACAAATTCTTCGTAGATAATGAGTTATTAAATATTATTTGGATCAATACTAAACTCGTCGTATTCAAGCGTAACGGATTTCCGTCATTTTCACGAATAAGCATGATTAATTTTAAACTTTCAAGCATGCAGAATATAGTACAGACCTTTGTCTATATTCTGCAATTAGTTTGGTAACCGTAAGTGGTGTGGTTTATTAAATATTAGCAATTGTTTATAAGATTCGACTTGACGCGAGTACGATGAATAGGGACGCTCCCAAATAATATTTAATAACTCCTAAACAAAACGGAATATGTTCATAAAAGTTATATGAGAATGTAGCCAAAAGAGTTACCTTTCAGCTGCATATGGTTAATTGCATGGGAATTCATTAGAAAGCTATGAAATTATTGAAAAAGCGTAAACGTATATAAACGTAAACGGCATCATTCCCAACATCCCGTGCTAAAATTGTTAATAACTAATTATTGAAAGGGTTTAGCGCACTACAAACTATATGTGAAAGTTGCTGAAGGATCACACTACATTCTTCAATTCTATAAGTTCACAAAATCATCGTAATTATTGAGTTATTAATGATTTTTCACCGACCGACGCGATTTAAGGCCTGATTGGCAGAGCTTAGCGGCCTGCCAGCCAAAAAGGAAGCGTTTCTCTCTGTCCTTCTCGCACTGCGTTCTTTGTCTAATACCTCTGTTTACATTCTGTGCTCCTAGTAACGAGTTGTTAGTTCGCGCTGCCAAACGCGAGATGGTGACACTGCCGCTTTTTAAAAAATTCTCTGTCCTTGTCTGCACCTATTCCTTTCCTTGTCTAACACGCGATAGTACCGCTATCCTTGTCTACCGGTATTCCTTTCCTTGTCTAACCCGCGATATTATTGCTATTCTTGTCTACCCGTATTCCTTTCCTTGTCTAACACGCGATACTATTTCTATCCTTGTCTACCCTTATTCCTTTCCTTGTCTTACTCATTTTTGTATTTGTAAATACATACCCGGTCGAGTTATCATTCGTAGTAAGCACGACTAAATATATTGACTTGTTGAATCATTTACTAATAAACAATTACTATTACTTTTTTTTTTGTAATTTCATAATTACGTTCAACTACGTTTCTAATCTTATTCCATGGTAAATCGGTAACGTTGGAAACGACGTTAGGGTCTTCTCGGCCCCCTGGCCGCGGATACAAAGTCCCACAAGATGTTAGCTCTATATTGTATGTACGTCGTTTGTGCTATATACCACAGTTACTTTATTAGTGCAGTGTACATCGGGTAACGCTAATGCCAGCGATATGTAAATCTTGGAAGGTGGTAAACAACGAATATGGCAGTGTTTTGAAAACGTCTCGATGTCAGCTACAAGAATACGTAATCAAAAATATACGTGTCCATTTAGATGCTTAAACATAACCTCTTGCAACGTCGTTGCAAGGCTAAGAAAATACTAGAACAATATGTTGCCCTTTATACCCTACAATTTTCGTTGAAATTATTTGTTTGTATCATTCGTTGTATTCGACATACTTCTGTGTACTGAGATAAACCAGACATACTGCATGTATGTATATAAGAACAAAAGGAATCAAAGTGAACGTGTTAGTTAATAGTTCGATCTAATAGGATTCAGATTGCGTTCCTCATTACACAGGAGAAATGTAATCGAACGAGATGAAAGTTCAGTTTTAACGTTTGCTTTAAATAATCACACCAGGTAAAAATAACTCTTTATTTACTAAATACAATATGTCATTTGTTCCTAAAGAATACAGTATATGCATCGTGTGTGTATACTCTTCCTTTAATACTACGTTTCACTGTTACACTCGTACGTCATCGTTAATTTCTCGAATGGAACGAATCTAAAAATTTGTGTGCTTGGAATTCGATGTGACAGCAGCAACTAGCTGGAAAACGGAAAGATTCGTGATTTATCGAGCCATCAGTCGTTACCGCCAATAGTTGGCGATAAATGTATTTCTGTTTGCATTTCGTGTAGTATCCTTCAGCAAACCCCTCGATCACTCTACAAGGCTTCTCTTGTTCTCTGTAACGTTATGAGTTGAATTGTAATTTTGATGGGCGACATAGCTGTTTCACTTTGTTCCGTAATTGCTTGCACAGTATGCTCCGTTTATTTTTTAATTAAGGCGACGTAAAATAATACTTACAGGCACGTTTCGATGCGCACACTTTGCACCAAGTTTTCATGGTTTACGATGTACTTCCATTCCGAGTCTTTCGTTACGCCTAACTTGGGGAATATAATTTTTTCCTGAAGTTGTGAAAAGGTAAGCGGACAAAGAAATTAAATTAATAAAATTGAGAAATTTAGTATACTGTAAATTAAGTGTTTTACTATTTTTTCTTTTTTCTTTTTGGATTAATAATTTACCGCGGAGACACAAAGCGGTTCTTCTTCCGGTTCATATTCCGATTGCGGATATATGTCCATCTATGAAATAAAAAAAGGAACATGAAATAACGTACAAATGATTGTTTAAGTAATTAAGATTAATATGATTGATAAAAGCGAGATATAATTAGCGCATCAACGAAGCCGAACTTCCGACACGCAGATGTAACTGTTCGTAACGCTCTGTAATTCGATTAGCATAAGCTGTGCTAACGTGACCTGCCATTAATATTTACCGGAAGTATAGTCATTTTTCAACTGTTATCGCTTTTTGTTAATTGGCATTAATAGAAAAAAAAAAAAATGAAGAACATACCTAACAATATTATGAGAAATTCGATGAAATTGATAATTTCACATAATTACGATTTTAGAAATCATAAATTTTGCATAAATGAATATTTCGAACATTTATCAAATTAACGATGCTAAATATAAAACGTTCAAGCTAAAATGAAACATAGAAGTTATTGAACCAGTAGAAACTTCGTATTTAATAAGAAAAGGCAATCATTATGGCAATGATTATTATAAAAAATAAGGAAGTTGTTTACGTAGAAATTAAACATTTTATATACAGTGTCATCGGCAAATAAAACACAACGAATGCAATGATAACGTATTCGATTAAAAAAATTCACTAACCTCGTCGCTATTCGCATAATCTCGAAGTTGAGGATTCTTCTCCAAAGCTAGCAATATTATTTCCGTTGGATAATGCGGAGTATCTTCGCAATAAGTTTTATGCTTACAATTCTTGACTGGTTTAACAACTAGGAAGTAATTTAAAAAAGTTATAGAATACTTTTTCTTTTTTAGAATAATTTAAATTACTTTGTTCGATTATAGTACCTCTTATCAGATCGCTAGATGTCGCGTTGTGCACAACGAAGGATTTTATAAATTGAATTTTAAATAGAAACTGCAATTAATTGTAATCATTGTGATTAATAATTAATATGGAATATGAAACATTCTGTAATCGTACTTAATTGTACATAACGAACAGTTTAATATTTACATGAATAATACGAATAAAAAAGTAATTCAGCGATAGAAATGATACATAATGATATTACCGATTATTTTTTTAAATTGTACAAATTTTCGTAAAATATAATCGCCCTATCTGTTTAATTTGTTATATGCGCTAAAGTATAACATAAATATTCACAGCGTGAAAGAAACATGGTCAGTGTATAAATATTAATCCTCCTTGCCATTTGCGTATCAATTTTTGGTAATTGATAAGAAGATAATTGACGATACTATAAAGCTTCGGTTTGAGCATAAATCGGAACGATAGATTCCGACGTCTAATCTTATCTATGAATTCCGCAAATACTTAGTTTATTAGGTGACAATCTTTGTTCACGTTACAATTTCGAAATTTAACTAAACGTGATGTATAATAAATAATTAACTTAAAAATATTGAATTGAAGCGATAAGTTTCTCTTAGCTTAAATGAATTATAACAATCTCACCAGTAAGAATATTCCGCTCAGTAACATGTTCGAAACTTTCCTGTGTACCGTCGCGCTCGTAAGTAATGCAAATTTTATTCTCTTATTATTTGAATGTTTCTTTTTTCTCAAGGATCTCGGTAAATATTATTCTTCAATTGTAAAATATTTGTTGTCAGACGAATCAAATAAATCGAAAATTGTAACAGTGAAAATACAGGAAACGTTTTTCTTTTTTTCGATGTACTTACCTTTTACGGTTATTAATGACGTTTATTGTTATTTTAACAATTATCAATTTTTCTTATTTGTTATCGTCTAGTCGATGTTATTGTTTTAAGGAAATACAGTTGCTTTCGTGGTTTTTCAACGACTAATCTCATTCCCGCGGCTTTATATCAACATCCTCGAGAAAAGTAAGATTACGATCGCTTTATAGGCTTTATTTGTTTTTCCTTTTTTTCCCAATAAATTTTTATTAATTTCCTTCATTTCCCTTGGTAATTATTCGATGAAATTGACCACTCTTATTTCACTTAGGTCGATAGCTTTAGTGAAATGTAGCAGCAAAGTGAAAATGTCTAATAATTTTACATCGTAATTAGCGAAAAAATGAAACTAACGATTATATATGTGTGTATTTTTAAAAAAACACAAACATTAACGAATATATGTATGTGATTGTCATTATTAGAGGTTATGACGTAATTGTATTTATTATCATATAATTCCATTATTAATAACACGTGCTAGACTATATTTTTATGGATTGTTTATTGTTTATCAGATGACATAGAGTGCTGGTTGAGACAGGCAGAAAATTAACATGAGTATACTTATACAAATAAATTGTTAAATACGAATGCTTTTTAATCCATCACATTTAACAAAGATTATGTATAAGAAAGTAATTTAAAATCTAAAATTTAAATTTGTTAGGTTAAAAGTTTAGATTTTAAACAGATTAAAATACAATGTATCCGTAGGACATGCATGTTTGAAGCATACAGTACGAAGTACCAAAGGAAATCACCAATGAAAGGAAAATTTAATGTGGAAATTTAAATCTAGGAAAAATGCGTTGTTAGGATAGTTTTGAAAAAGTCTATTTATTTACATTTGAATTATTTGAATTATTAACAATATTTTAATGATTGAATTCAGTTCTTTTTTTTCTTAGTTAGGTTATTGTTTTTGTGTTAGTAGGAAAATTACTAGTAGTCCCTACATTTCTTTAAATTTCCCTATTGCCGCAGGGTAAGAATACTAGCGTGAAGTATACTGCAGTTACTGGCGTTAAACTGCTTCAGTTCGGTCGATTTCGCATTGCGTCCAAAGAAAATCAGAAAAATGTCGAAGAGGAATCCAGGGGACGAATATAGAAAAGGTTTTATTCATTTTATTTATAATCGTATCAGTCGCATTTGGTAATATAACATTTACCTTGTACCTTACAGAATATGTACAGTGCTTTATTCTTGATTTGTTTTCGTTATTGATTTCATGTCTACAGTCCTCAATCACGGGAAAAGCAAATTTTAAATGTATAGTTACGAAAATTTATTACGAAACAGTTATAAAAGAAAACTAAATGTTCGAGTCGTATTACATTTCCTAAAACTCGTTTCTCACTTTTCATGTGCCATTTTTGGATGCACACATCTTACAACCATGTGCCAAAGGATACGTCACATTAGTAAAAACGGAATGAATGTTAACCTTATGTAATAAAAATATCAAGTAAATATATATCGTATTCCGTATTGTTATAAATAATCTTAGAACGTGTATGCTACATGCAAACTTGTTTCTTCATCATCATTGTTTGACTTCATCTGTTTTTGAATTCAATCTAGAATTACAAGAAACTTGTGCTAAGCATGCCGCTTAAATATTTCCGGTTAAAGAAACAATGTTGTTTAACTTGATCTGAACTTTGCCAGTGTTTGACGTTGTCAGGGTCAAGTGTGTACAGAGCAGAGGACTCCAGGGGAGATGACAGAGGAAGGGATCGGTCTCCAATTAGATCAGATGACCGTTGTGAGGCTACCAATTACAATCAGAATGATGCAAAGAAACAGAAGCTAGCATTTGGATTTGGGAAGAAAAGTGGGACAGACCAAAAGAAGGGTATTCAGATAAAATTAGGTTCAACATCAGTAAGTATTAATATATATATATATATATTTCTGTGTACATTATTTTTCTTACAAAACCTCTGTTCTAGAAACCTACAGTAAAAGCAACACCAGTCCAAAGGCCAACAGTAGCTTCTGTATTCAATGCAGATGAAGAAGATGAACCTGAAGAAATGCCAGCAGAAGCAAGGATGAGGATGCGAAATATTGGTAGAGAAACACCAACTTCTGCAGGACCAAATTCATTTGGTAAAACAAAGCAAGGATTTTGTGACTCCAAAAAAATATTTGAAAAAACGCTCAAAAAAGCAATGGAGGATGCAAATAAATGATTCTTTCCTTAATGTACTTGACAATTATTGTTAATTGTATATTAATTTTACAAAAAAAAAAAAAATGCAACAATAGTGAGGTTCTTGCTATAGTTATATGCAGAATATTTTTATCAATTTTATGCATCTTATTGGCAAAACCTAGATATGATGTTCTAATTCACATTTAACACCACATTTTGAAAATTAATTAAATATTAACTACTTGTTAGTATTAGCTAATGATGAGACTGCACTTGAAGTGTACGATTTTGTTGTATAAATCTTGAGGAATTATGCATATGTAATAAAATTATACTATGTAATTTTTACATTGTTCATTACCACTATACTAATTTTGAATCATGTAATAATAAATTAAAAAAACAACTCCTTTAGGAAATATAGGAAAGTTATAAAATAACTATTCAATATTAGAAACATTTATATTAAAAATATAAAATTATGCAGTTTTAATAATTACCCTTGGGAAATTACGAACTGGAGGCGTTCTGATACGGCGATTTGCTTTAGATCTGTTACGAACTACCTTGGAGTGAATAGCACAAGAAACACAGTAGTGCAATTTGGCATACAATTTTGGAAGTTGGTATGCTGAGTAAAAGCTTGCTTCTGTTATATCTCTGACAGCAGCAGCTTCAACAATGTTACGAATAACAAACTTCTTAATTGCCTTGTCTTTAGGTACACATCTTGCACAATTGGTACAACGGACAGGGTTTACATGGCCACGGCCATGCTTGGCACGTCCACCATTTCTGCGCTTACATGTCTGAAAAATAAATTACAATGATATCAAATACTGATGATCATTCATGTGACTAAATATTGTTTATAAAAAATTCATAAACAGTATAGTTTTCGTTTTTCATTGTAACAATCAACTATTGCCTATCTTTAGTCTTAAATTGTATTAACCATTTATATTATTTAAAATTGTATTAACATATACATATATTATTTAAAATTGTATTAACATATACATATATTATTTAAAATTGTATTAACATATACATATATTAATTAATAACC